TAGTTGTCAGACTAAGAGTTCCATGCATCCACCACTATCTTTGTATAATACATATTATATATTGTATATTGCAGTGTTACAGTATGAAATAGTTTGAGGAATTTGCCAAGTAAACATCCCATCACCGCTAATTGCCAAGAGTTGCTTGATATAAAAATTTTTACATGTAATAGCACATAGCATATATAATTTGAGACTTTAACTCTGTTCATTAATGCTACATTTACTGTGCCAGAGTGTAATCAGTTTCTAAAGTTTTCACTTTGCAAATGTGAAACTCTGCAGTCTTTATAACTTCCAATTTCCTAATACGTGACCCTGAAAACTATTATTTTACCATTTACTTCTATGAAATGTGCTCCTCTTGAATCCATGAATAAGAGGAGTAAGATTTGGGGGCAAATTTTTTTAATCTCTCTGTGGCACTTACCCTCCTGTTTTACAGCCCACCTACATTGTAACACATATCAATATCTTCTAAAATGATGTATACATTCATCTTCGTGCTTTTGATATGATTTCTAAATTAACATGAACTGGCATAAAAGATGCATTAGATGGCTCCTATGAAAGATACTGCAGCATGTGTGTTGGTGGGGATGTGGTAAAAAGGGAACTCTCATCCACTTCTGGTGGAAATGTTGTTTGGTTCAACCCCTATGGAAAACAGTATGAAGAGTTCTCAGCGCATTTAGAATTGAGCTGACATTCAAGCCAGAAATTCCACAGTTGGGTATCTATCCCCAGACAGAAAACCATTAACTTAGAAAGATGTGTACATTGCAGCACTCAGTACAATAACTGAGATTTAGAATCAACTTAGATGTTCAACAACAGATAAGTGGATCATGAAGATATATACAGTGTAACACTACGCAGCTGTAAGAAATGATGTCACTGTCACTGTCACTGTCCTCCCGTTGTTCATCGATTTACTCTAGCGGGCCCAGTAATGTCTCCCTCGTGAGACTTTGTTGTTACTGTGTTTGGCATATCGAATACATCACGGTAGCTTGCCAGGCTTTGCCATGCGGGCGAGATACTCTCCGTAGCTTGCCGGGCTCTCCGTGAGGGGCGGAGGAATCGAACACTGGTCGGCCAAGTTGGCTGCATGCAAGGCAAATGCCCTACCCGCTGTGCTATCGTTCCAGCCCAAGAAATGATGAAATCGTGCAATTCATTGCAACATGGAACTGGAAGGTGTCATGTTAAATGAATTAAGTCAGGACAAACACAGGATGATCTCACTTACATGAGGTATTTAGAATAACTAGATGAGGGAATGCAATGGTTTAAAGGGAGGATGCCTAGGTCACCTCGGGCTCAGAGTATAGGGTGGAGAAGAGAAAAAACCAAGTGGAGAAGGAGGAGAAGAGATAGATGAGAAGTCAAGGCGATTCAGGTACACTGGCGGTGTCAAGGAATGATACAGCTAAATATCCAAAGCAGTCAACGGCACTGAAATCATGAGGCCTAAACTTCAACACTGAAACTTGAAAAGGTGCCTGTCAATATGGCGGGCTTGGGGGTGAGGTGTTGGGGAGGAAGACAGGTAACGTTGGTGGAGGGACGTTGACACTTGTCCATTGAACCTGAGGAGCCAAGCAGGAGCCAGGCGGGTACCCTCAGACTGTGCTGCCACCCTATGCTGCACATTCTGCTGGAAGCACTGAAAGCTGGGCAGCACCCCGGGGATACCTCAGTGGCCACCATCAAGATTTACATTCTGGACATGCTTCTGCTCAAGTATGAGGCAGGTGCTGGCCAAGGGCATGAGCTGAGACCTCCTCAGGCAGCCAGCCAACTCCAAGAGGGTGGAGAGAAACAGCAGCTTCAAACTAGTTCCCAAGCCCATGAATAAAATTCAGATCAAGAAGACATGTCCCCAGACAGCCCTAAGAAACCCTGGGGTGTTGGGACTGGCAAGATATCACAGTGGGTAGGGCATTTGACTTGCACACGGTCAACCTGGGTTCGATTCCCAGCATCCCATATGGTCCTCCGAGCACCGCCAGAATTCCTGAGTGCAGAACCAGGAGTAACCCCTGTGCATCACCGGCTGTGACCCATAAAGCAAAAAAAAAGGAAATCCTGAGGTGTCAAGGACCAGGGCTCCAAGAGACCCAGCAAGGCCAGGAAGAAACTTTTCAGCCCAGCCCAGACCAAGAGGGACTCCAGAAAGCCAGGAGAGGGCAAGGCTGCTCACCGCAAAACAGGAGTTTTGGCTCCCCAGAGTTTGGTCTTTTGGCAAGACCGAAAAGGACATTTCCAAGCCATATCAGGTGTAAAGGGGGGCCTATAAAGCAGGAGAGGGCACAGCAACTCAAGCTAAACTAAGCACAGCCAAGGAGAAGGACCCCCCCCCCCCCGCAAGAATAGCAGCCAGGCCAAGGGAACCAAGGTCAGAAAGGCCCTTGAGGTGGGAAGTCAAAGTCACAGGAGGGAGGAGCAAGTCAGGTGTTGATGCTCACAGGAAAACCAAAGTGAAGAGCTCAAAATCCACTGTCAGTCCTCCTAGCCCCTGTTTTCCCTGGCCATGGATATTAGTCTTCTACTCTGTATCTTTTTATATCCTACAAATGAGTTCAGTCATTCTACATTTTCCCTCACCTTCTGACTCATTTCACTCAGCGTGATACACTCCATGTCCATCCATTTATAGGCAAATTTCATAACTTCATTTTTCCTAATAGTTGCATAGTATTCCATTTTTCCTAACAGTTGCGTAGTATTCCATTATGTAGATGTGCCATAGTTTCTTTATCCATTGTCTGTTCTTGGACACTTGGGCTGGAGCAATAGCACAGCGGTAGGGCGTTTGCCTTGCATGTGGCCGACTCAGCTGACCTGGGATCGATTCTTCCGCCCCTCTTAGAGAGCCCGGCAAGTTACCGAGAGTATCTCACCCGCACAGAAAAGCCTGGCGAGGTACCCGTGACACATTCTATATGCCAGATACAGTAAAAACAAGTCTCACAATGGAGACATTACTGGACCCGCTCGAGCAAAACGATAAACAACGGAAGGACAGTGCTACAGTTTTTGGACACTCAGGTTTTTTCTAGATCCCAGCTATTGTGAATAGTGATGCAGTGAAAATAGGAGTGCAGATGGTGTTTCTGCTGTGTGTTAATGGTTGGAATCTACCACAAGTATGTGTGGGAGGCAAAGGATAAGAAAGATAGAGAACTGATCAGTATGACAATAATAGTTAAAAATTATCATGCCGGATAAGAACTGAATGTTAAAAGTGGGTAAAGGTATATTCCTGATAGCCTTTCAGTATCTGCATTTCAAGCCACAATGTCCAAAAGCAGAGAGAGGGACAGAGAGAGAGAGAGAGAGAGAGAGAGAGAGAGAGAGAGAGAGAAAGTGAGAGTGTGTGTGGGGTGGGGTAATGGGAGGGAACCTGGGGACACTGTGCTGGGAAATGTACACTGGTGGAGGAATAAGTGTTGGAACACAGTATTACTGAAATCTAGTCATGAACAGCTTTGTAAGGGTCTATCTCACAGTGATTCAATTTGTTTAAATCCTATCAAAATAAAATATTTTTTAAAATTCATTATCAGCAAGAGCGAGAACAGAGCCATCTTCCCTCCTGAAAGAAGGTAAATTCCCGGCCCCCAGCAAGGGTTGTAGCCAGAGAGGGTTGAGTGAGTCAGGAAGCTCAGGACCAAGGACCTCCCAAGGGGGATGAGTCCCAGGGGACACCGACACCCCTGGCCGGGAAGGATAGGTTGAACATGAGTCCCAAGGCCTCGCAATATCCACAGTGGTGGACAGAAGGGCAGAAGCCAAGAGCTAGAGGAACATTGTACATCTAAAACTCAAGTATACATAACTTTGTAAATCATGGTGCCTTGATAAAATACTTCTTTATTTAAAAAAGGAAGCGCATTATGGTCCCTTTCCCCAAAAAAGAGATACATTAGGGAACAAAATAAATTCTAGAAAAATACTCATCAATGTCTATTTTATATGACAAAGAATTCTCATGTTTAAACTAAAGTTGTGTGTGTGCTAATGACCTATGGTAGCATCCAATCCATGATCTGCACTTCCCCTTCACGGTAAGTTCAGTGAAATGTCAAGAATCCAATCATCTGCAACAAAGGCAGACTGCTTGAATGTAAATTGTTTGCTGGTTCTTTAAGATGCAATGGATACTTTTTCTATAGCACAGCGGGTAGGGCGTTCGCCTTACAAGCAGCCAACATGGCCGACCCGAGTTCGATTCCTCCGCCCCTCTCGGAGAGCCCGGCAAGCTACCGAGAGTATTCGATATGCCAGACACAGTAACAACAAAGTCTCCAATGGAGACGTTACTGGGCCTGCTCGAGCAAATCGACGATCAACGGGAGGGCCTTTACCTTTACCTTATGGAAAAATGGAAAAAAATGTGCTATCTAGTTTTGCAGGGAAGGAGATTATTTATTTATTTATTTATTTTGTTTTTTGTGTCACACCCGGTGATGCACAGGGGTTACTCCTGGCTCTGCACTCAGGAATTACTCCTGGCAGTGCTCTGGGGACCATATGGGATGCTGGGAATTGAACCCAAGTCGGCCGCGTGCAAGGCAAACGCCCTACTCGCTGTGCTACCCCTCCAGCCCCTGAAGGAGATACTTTAATTCCCAAAACAGATGCTTCTTGAGAAAGATATTTTTTCTTTTATATTTTTAAAAAATATTTGTTTTCACTTTGATGTAAAACGTGTGTACTATAGCCTATGTCTGGGGTGGAGGGATGTGTGTCCTATGAATTTAATGTAGGTAAAGCTCTATAATATTTTCTTAGGTCTTTTTCATTTATCAGTTATTAATGATCTACAAATGAAGAGTATATAAGCTTGTGGATAGGTCTGTTGATGTGCAAGTATCACAGTCACCATGTCATAAATCCTCTAAAATAAAATCAAGCATGCTTAGCACCTGCTTTGGCATAAGAAGTAATACTCTAGGTTGCTTGTCCTTATTTTAAAAACATGAGAAAAAAAGTCAAGTTACCATCATCATTCTATAGTTGTCCAGAGTTTCTAGTGACTGTTGATTAAAACATGTCTTCATGCTCCTTATAGCATTTTCAATGTCTTCGTCCTCCAGGAATTCTCGAACAAAGTCAATGTAGGCATCTAAGGTCATGGACCCATCTACTGTTTTCTCAACTACCTCCTCAAGTACAAGACACCCATAACCTAGGGGGAAAGAATGGATAATTAGGCTAATCCTTGGATGCTTGAACATTGTTTCTGGCCTCAAATGATGTTTGTTCTTCAATTGCATCCTAGTGAAGACATACCTTCAGAAATGTTATGGTGAATAGTGTGTATTTTCCATTCAAGGAGAGTAGATTCAGGACACAGTGTGTACCATACTGTATTCAGGATATGGTATGTGCCATATCCTTCAGTGTCTAAAACCTTGACTCATCCTTTATCCTATGTTAAGGAGCCAGACTAGGCAATCAGGTGTAAGGGGCAGCTTCTCAACAGAAGACACTGTGACTTAGAGCAATATATTAAGCATCACCATAATCACTTAGAGAATCCAGGCAAGATTTTTCAGAGTTATATGTATTGAGTCTACACTATTGTCGAGGACTTCAACTGACGGCAACTTTTCATGTGATGGAAAAGAATAAATGAAAGAAATTCTTGTAACTTGATCTGCTGTGATCAACTGGGTTAAGCAGTGGAAAGTACCCTCACTTGGTTACATGAAAGGTGGCTTTCACTGATGTATATGCAATTTTCTTTTAACTGAATTTGATCCTGTCTCACTTAACATGTTTGTATTTAACTTCTGAGTCAATTATCTGGGAGTTTATAATGAGCCTAAACATAGATTAAAATATGCCACAAAAACGACTTTATGTTTGAAGAGCAGGAATAGGCTGCTGGGATATTTTCTGATAATTGAACAGTCGTTGCTGGGAGAAGACCTCCCAAAGGTGTGAGCCCTTCTCAGTCTAGGTCGAACAAGAAGGATGAGGAGATAGAACTTTCTGGAAGTGCTCAATCACACCAGCAATGTGTGTAGAGTGTAATTCCACGGTGTGGACCATTGGATCCCACTCTGATTTCTGAAGAGTCTCGCCTAGGGAATTTAGGTTTCCTATACCAGAAAGATAGACTGACTGTGAACCTCTTTCAGGAAACTCAACTAGACATCAAAGGTGGGGGCCCCTCTGTTATATCCCTTTTTTGCCCACATGAAATAGTTCCTTCTATTACTCATCCTTAACAGAGTTGTGGCTGTACATCCAGAATAGAGGACATCCTATTTGAAGTTCTAATTAGAGGCAAGTTCAAGAGGAACACTTGGAGACTTTCTGGAATAAGTGATCCTTAGGTCTATGCAATTCAATCTACTGTATTGGAGCTGTCCTATCCAGAAGCTTTAGAAACTGGGCAGTCCTCCTCTGGACCCAAAATACAATATGACCCCAAAGCGTGCCTTCACTGTCAGGACTCACCTGCATAGCAGAAAAGGGGGAGCGCCGTGAGCATGAGGACTGTCAGCAGCTTCATGTTGACTGTTGTCTCCAGCCTGTAGGGCAGAAGGACTCACTTTGGAGCAGAACCCTCAGATCTCCCCATTTTATTCTCCAGATCACCTTCTTAGCCCCACCCATACATGAAATCATGAGTCACAGAATACACATGGCAATGAGCCACAATGTAAAGAATACACCAGACCAGTCATTCCATACTTAGTTTGTAAACAACAAGGAGATAGAACTTTTAAGCCCTCAGATAATTTTAAACTTGCAATAATAACATATTTTAAAGGTAAAATTTATACAAAATTGTTTTTAAAATAAGAGAGAGAGAGAGAGAGAGAGAGAGAGAGAGAGAGAGAGAGAGAGAAAATAAGCACCTTCCATAGAGGCAGGCTGGGGAGTCGAGGGTGGGGATGATGGGAGGAAAACTGGGGACACTGGTGCTGGGAAATGTACACTGGTGGAGGCATGAGTGTTGGAAAACTGTATGACTAAAACCTGACCATAACCAGCTTTATAGGGGTCTATCTCACAGTGATTCTATTAAAAAATTAAAATAAATTGAATAAAAAAATAAAAGAGCATATTAAAGAGCAAAATTCCATATCTGTGTTTCTATATTTTCCTGTTATTGCTGCACTCTTATTTTTGATGCTTTCTTCCTCTTTTTCTGGTCACCTTTTATTTTCTTATATTTTATAATTTAATTGTTTCTTATTGCACCATTATTTCTTCTGCCCTACAGGCTGCCTTTGCTCAAGGCTTTGTCCTGGTATCTTGGTGGTGCTCAGGGGACCATATACTGTTCCAGAGATAGAACTCAGTCTCCTGTGTACACGGCAAGTACCTTACCCACTGTTCTCTCTCTCTCTCTCTCTCTCTCTCTCTCTCTCTCTCTCTCTCTCTCTCTCTCTCTCTCTCTCTCTCTCTCTCCACCCCTGTTCAACTATCTATTCTGCCTTGTGTAGCGTTCATTATTTCTCTTTTCATTTTCTTTCTTGGTCTACTGCAAACAGCTTCATAGCTTCTGAACATATCCCTTCAAGTTCATCAACACTTAAGTTGGAGTCTACATTACAATGCGTTTTCAGACAAATAACCTTCATCCACTGAGACTGTGTTTTCCAGTCCCAACCACCCCTCATGCCTGCCCCCATAGCAGGCCCACAATAATTAATTTATTGGTAACTGCTTGTTACCAATAAATGGATAATGGAATGATCAAAAAAAATTTCCTTAGAAGAAAATTAGTGAAGATTGTTGCATTTCACCATCGAGACAGTAAGTCCTTGGCTGGGGACTTACTAAGATGTTGTTACAAGTGAAACCTTCTGTGTTCATGGTTTTTCTATCGAGATTGGTTGACTTCCACATTATTTCCCATCAGATCTGCCACGCTCCTACTGGACTGTCAGTGTTGGAGAGTTTGGAGATGTTGCAAAGCCTCAAAAGTGGCCATGTACTCTAGGAAATCCAGAATTTTTAACTGGGCAGTGCAGCTGAAGTTAAACTATTTTTCATATGTTTGTTTTTTAATAACTTTAATAAGTCATTAGTTCAGTTACAGACATTCAATATTCCAACACCAGTCCCACCACCATCAATGCACCTTCATACCATCATTATTTCCAATTTTCCCAACCACCTCTTGTCTGCCTCCATAGCAGGCCCTCAATAATTTACTTTATATTGCTTGTTATAAATAATTTGCTAAAAACAGGTGCTGGCGCGGATGTGGCGAGAAAGGGACCCTCCTTCACTGCTGGTGGGAATGCAGGCTGGTCCAACCCTTTTGGAAAACAGTATGGACGATTCTCACAAAATTAGAATTCGATCTCCCATTTGACCCAGCTATAGCACTCCTGGGAATATATCCCAGAGAGGCAAAAAAGTATAGTCGAAGTGACATCTGCAATTGTTTGTTCATTGCAGCACTCTTTACAATAGCCAGAATCTGGGAAAAACCTGAGTGCCCGAGAACAGATGACTGGTTAAAGAAACTTTGGTACATTTACACAATGGAGTACTATGTAGCTGTTAGAAAAGATGAAGTTATGAAATTTACATACAAGTGGTACTACATGGAAAGTATCATGTTAAGCGAAATGAGTCAGAAAGAGCGGGATAGACACAGAAAGATTGCATTCATCTGGAGAACATAAAGCAACAGGAATGGCTGAGATTAGTACCAGGAATTTTGCTCCATGACTTGAAGGCCAGCCACATGTGCTAGGTGAAAAGGAAGCTCAGATAGAGAAAAGAGCACCAAATAAAGGGTGCTGTGAAGACCCTCCCAGGGTGGGAGAGACATGCTGAAAGTGGTCTGTGGACCAAACATGATTGCCACTCAATGCCTCTCCTGCAGAGCACAGTACCCAAAAGAAGAGAGAACAGGGGAGAATGCCCTGCTACAGCGGCAGGGTGGAACGGGGGGGAGGATGGGGGGTGGGAGGGATGCTGGGACCCGTGGTGGGGGAGGTTGGGCACTGGTGGAGGGATGGGTACTTGATAATTGTATAACTGAAACCCAAGCACAAAAATGTATAAGTCTATAACTGTACCTCATGGTGTTTCACTAATAAAATAAATAAATTAATAAATAAATAATTTGCTAAAAGGCCCTCCCGTTGATCATCGATTTGCTCGAGCGGGCCTAGTAACATCTCCATTGGAGATTTTGTTATTACTGCCAGACACAGTAACAACAAAGTCTCCAATGGAGACGTTACTGGGCCCCCTCGAGCAAATTTGCTAAAAGGGTGATCAAAAATGTTTCTTTAGAGTAAAGTTAAGATTGTTGTATCTCACCATGGAGCTTAAGCCCTTGTGTAAGAGATTACTAAAATGTTGTTACAGGTTAAGCCTTCTGATACTGCTGGCATTAAATTATTAACTGACTGGCAGCTTTGGGCATGTGCATTACTGCTGGACTTCCAGAAGTACAGGGAGATGGGAGAAGGTAGCCTATTCCCGACCCCATGAAAGCTAGAGATCTCAGTCACAAAACCCTCATACCTGAGGTGGTTTCTGGGCATGATTTCTGGGCTTCTGGAAATGTAGGGAGATGATGGGGGGAGGTTGCCCATTTCCGATCCTGTGAAAGTTATAGATTTCAGTCACAAAACCGCATACATGAGTCTTTCAACAAATTAATTTCTGGATGAGGGTCGTCCAAGCAGTGGGGTCTGGCTGGGAGCATGCCAGCAATTGTGAAGTGTGTAGGTTTCCAGCTACCATGGCTCTCCACTGAGACTTTTATAAATGATCATGAATTTAGGCAAACATCCCCAGCCTCACCTTCTGAATGTTGATCTCCCAGGAGTTAATTAAATTCTAGCTAATTTTTAATCTTATTTGCTTATTTGTTTGATATTTGGTCACCCCAGTGGTGCTCAGGACTTACTCCTGACTCTGTGCTCAGGGATCATTTCTGGAAGTCTAGGGAGACTATATTTAAATATGTACTTGCTGGGCATTGAACCAGACTCTGCTGCATGCCAGGCAAGAGCCCTACCCATAGTACTATCTCTCTGATCCTTCTTTTTCTATTACTAAAGACACTGTTAAAAATCAGCACTTTTGAAAGTGGGCAAACAACAAAACATAGTGGCCTCTCAGTATCTGTAAAGTTAAATAAGATAATGCCCAAAAGGATAGAGGAGAGAGAGAGAGAGAGAGAGAGAGAGAGAGAAGAAATTTATCTGCTATAGAGGCAGGCTTGGGGGATGGCAGGAGGGATAAGGGGGATTTTGGTGGCAGGAAATGTACACTAGTGGAGGGATGGGTGTTGGAACATTGTATGATTGAAACTCAATCATGAACATTTTGTAACTGTATTTCTCAGTGACACAGTGATTTGATAAAAATAAATAACACTGTAGCACTGTCCTCCCATTGTTCATTGATTTGCTCTAGTGGACCCAGTAATGTCTCCATTGTGAGACTTGTAGTTACTGTGTTTGGCATAATGAATACGTCACGGGTAGCTTGCCAGACTTTGCTGTGCGGGCGAGATACCTCACATAAATAAATAGATAAATAAATATTTACTTAATAAATAGATAAATAAATAAATAAAATCAACACTTTGGGGGCCAAAGCAATAGTACAGCGGGTAGGGCATTTGCCTTGCACGTCACCGACTCAGGTTCAATCTCCGGCATCTCATGTGGTCCCCTGAGCACCGCCAGGAATAATTCCTGAGTGCAGAGCCAGGAGTAACCCCTGATTATTGCTCGGTGTGACCCAAAATGCAAAAATGAATAAATAAATTTTAAAAATAATTTAAAAATATAAAATAAACACTTTAACATCTACACAATGGAATATTACACAGCTGTCAGGAAAAATGAAGTCATGAAATTTGCCTATAAATGAATGAGCATGGAAAGTATCATGCTGAGTGAAATGAGCCAGAAGTTTCACACACACACACACACACACACACACACACACACACACACACACAGCCCAAAATGGTTCAGAAAGGGGAAGATTGTTTCTGGTTCTGTACTCAGGAATTGCTACTTGCTGTGGTTCTCAAAGAACCATGCTGTGTTAGGGATTGAGTTGGAGTCAACTCATGCAAGGCAAGAGTTTTTCTTCCTGCAGTCTTTCCTGCCCTCAAAATGGACAAGCAGTCTATTGGAAGAATGACCTTTAACTTGGAATGAGTGGACAGTGATAAGCAGGGGAAATTATGGGGGGGGGGGGAGTTTATTGGGAGAAGAACAGCAAGTCCTTTGGCCTGAGGGCAGGTGATATCGACAGTCAAGATCATGAAAGCAAAGGTAAATTTATTTTATAAGTAAATTATATGAATTGAAGTAAGGACAATATGAATTAAACAGGAACAAGGATAAAGAAGTTGATCAAGCATAAAGAAAGCAAAGAATGGATGGGAGAACCAGAAAGATGAGTTAATAGTCAAATAGCCAGAATTGTCTTGTTTGCTTCTGAATCCTATCTTCCCATCATTCGGGTGGAGTTTAAGTTACCAAACATACATTGAATTAGGAAAAGACTAGA